AACAGCCTATCTAAAGAGCGTATCTGAAAGAGTGAAGACGAGCTGGCAAAAATTGAACAATTATACCAGTTTGTAGACAATTGTTTTGCTCGACAGGATGTGATAGCTTTTCAAGTTCGAAACTATCTAACTTTTTTTGTCACAGGGTCACGGTTTTTCTGATTTTTCTTTGATTAATACAGATTACTTAGAATAATTTCGAGTTTAAAAAGCTATCCCATCTTGTCGAGCAAACAATTTTGTACAAACTGGTATACTTGTTCAATTTTTGCCGGCTCGTCTTCACTCTTTTAGCCACGCTTTTTAGATAGCCTCAACATCGATTTTGGGGGCTGTTTGTGCAACAGCTTTATTTTCATAACGAATCAACGTTCAGAGCCGAGACACTTTTCATTTTGTAGAGAAATGTTTAATCTACTCAATTATCTAGTTGTAATTTTAGATTATTTTCTAACTTTATTGCCATAGTTCTTTGAAAAAGAGTGAAAAAAGGAGACTGTTAGCTGGACAAACCGCAGAGGATAATATTCTGATGTATATCCCGGACTAAGTTTTCTGTAGTGATCAACAGACCATTCGTAAAACCTACACAAACACTGACCTTTTGAAATGCTTGTTTGTGTTTATTTGTGTATTTTTTCTGTTTCTCACCCTACACCGGAAATGGCAACGGGTCGAACTGTTCGGGTAACTGTTCAGGTAGGTGTTCACTTTTGTGCTTTTGCAATAGACGCTGTTGCTATATCCTTAGCACGCACTCGTTCTTTATGTTCTGATGTTCTGATACGTGCACGATCTCTCTTCTCTTTAGTGTACAGTTCCTTCACTGACGCAGTCCGTCGGAGTCGTATATTTCTCATGTGAATCCCGTCTGCCATTTGTTTTACAAGTGTTCTATTCTTAGAACGTATTTGTTCGTGGTGTTCGTCAGTCGATTTATTTTTTGATCCTGATTTCAAATATGATATTTTTATTCGATAGAAGTTCAGTTCTGTTGGAGAAAATTGAAAATTACGAGAAGAATTACGACTCTTTCGCCGCTGATTTTGAAAAATGAATTTCCTTAACAAAATTAAAAAAAGCCAAACGTACTTTTAAAGCTGGGCTTTCAGCGAATCTGCTGAGATGTAGCTGCCGGCGTCATCCCTTAACACAAAAAGTTAGATAGGTTTACAAAAGGACTCACCCTATTTCCCGTTGCTCCTTTCGGACGTCCATGGTGGAAAGGCGTTTACCTCCGAAATGGTTCTAATATTAGTTTTTGATTCAATTTTCAACGCTGAATAAAGAATAGTTTGAATGTTCCGACGAAAAAGTCAAGTAAAAAAATCCAACTTTTTTGAACATCATCATGTGGGTCGAGCTTTCTCGATTTTTCGACATGAAAAAACGTTTCGAAAAATTGAAAACTACATATTCGTGATCAGCTCGAAAAACTCTATCGAATATATACACACTGTTAGATCATCAAGGTTTTTATAAGAGAGCACTCAAGGAAATGCTGGCTAATCAAATTAAAAGAGTAATACTGTAAACGTTTTGCTGAGTCGGAAGGTAACAGTAATAAACATTGTACATACCCTGAAAAAACACACATATATGTAAAAAAAAGTAAATCGTATGTGTACACACACATTCTTCTCTATCGGCGTTTTCTTCCTATTTTCAAAGAGTGATATTATGGAAAAGAAAAACAGTAGTCCAGTTCAACGTAAAAGAAAAATAGTATCAAAAGTAAAGAGAAGACACTAATAATTTGTAAAAGATGATAAAACTAACTGATATAATTCTTTTTAATGTATGTGTCATGTATTCATTTTGATATTAACCAGTTAAAACATCGTATATTGCCCTTGTGTACTATATCCGTTTAAATCGGTCGGTGTGATTATTGTTCCAGAAGAAGAGAAGGGAATGTTAGAGAAAAAAAGATCAGTACAGATAGTAAATGAAAGACAGACTATTATATTGTGTTTTTTTAACTCATGTGTGGGGATCTTTATTTTAACTTCCACTACTTTAAATTAAAACTTCAGTTTCGAATAATAGCATTTTAGATTCTACTAAATTTAAAGTGCTGCTACAAAGTATATTTGGCCGAGTACGGTAACAAATTTTCTATGAAAAAATTTGATTTTTGGATCAAAAACATGTCAGAGCCATGTCTGGATCACATTCAACAACTTAGTTTCTCCAAACTCTAATATCAATTTTTTTAACGTCTGCAATACCCCACCGAACAGGCGAGAATGTTTTTTCTGATATTTCTGTCAATCGCAGTGAACTATAGGCAGTTGGACTAATCGTAAATATCAAGTTTAGAATTGTAAAACCTTTTTTATCTGTGAGATCTTAAATATTAATATGCTGTGAATTTTTCGAGTTGTTTCTGATATAATTCTATCATAACATCACGAAAGCATTCTTATCATTAGAAAACTGCCGGCTATATGCAAAAACAATTGAAATAGTTTTATCCGTTATTCTTCCTCATCATATAAATAACTAACCTAATCAGGTAAGTGCGATGAACTATAATTATATTCAACCAATACTATAATTTCGACTATCTCAGCTCGTTTTTTCTTTTTCTATCAACATTTATGTAGAATGAATTATCTTGAATATCCAGTAACGCCAAATGTCAAAATAAAATCATCAAATGCGTTGTTAATAATATAATCTAGCCCATCCTGTTTTGTAAACAACTGAGATATGGAGCTGTATTCTCTTACGCATATAACTTCAAATGTTACATTAGAACCGTATTTGGTCATTAGTTTACTAATTGATAAACCATATAAAACCAATGGTGAGTGCCTAACTTTTGTCGCAAAAAGTTCGTTATCTATTTTGCAGGTGTTTGTACACACTAGGAAAATCAACAGCATAGTTAAACCTAATAAAAATTGAATATTTCGTTGAATAATGTCGCACATTCTCTTTAGAAGTACAAAATATCTGATTTTTAATTTAGAACATTAACAGTTTATTTTATAGGACGTGATATATTATATAAATGAATGACTATATTTTTCTTGTTGTATGCATCGGAACGTATGTACAGACATTATATTGTCATACAAAGATAATTGGTTCTTCATAGAAAAGCAGTATATGTACAAATCAGAAAATATTAAGCATAAAAGTGAGCCTTTTTCGTATACTTTTTGATACAGGGAACCAAATGGTCTGACATAAATTACAAGATATATTAATTAACTTCTAATTTAGAACGTCAACATTTTAACACTTCATTTTATAGGATGTGACATATGTAAATGAATGACTATATTTTTCTCACATACATCAGCTGTGACAAATTTGAATAAACCGATAACAAAAAATATACGACCGTTAAGAATCTAGTGTAAGTCTAACTCCCAATAGTACGATGTTTTGAAACGTAATTTACATTATTTTACATAAAAATGGATCTTATTATTTAAAATCGATCACACTGAATATATCAGGTTTGCTTCCTTTTATCTTACTATTCCACGGGCTATTTAATTGGAAAAATTTATCGTTCAAGCCCAATTTAGCTATCAATCGAGTGTATCAATCCATTCACTTTCTTTTTCACGGAGAACAGACGTATAGTCTTTTTCACTTTCTTTCCATCTGTGAGGTAGTTGTCCTTTTTTCTTGCTGACTGTCTAGTGTTTCATGTCTAGTTCACTAAAACGTAATATTTCGAGCGGATCTTCATCTGGATCTCGACCTACTACCAAGATGCCGAAAGGAAATGATGAATTACCAATGGCTATTACTCAATCGATAATGGACAGTCCTGAACTTCGCAAACAGCTGATTTCTCTTCTTCTTCCTCCGTCTACTGCTGTGACAGCAACAACAATGACAAATAGTCGCATGGACAGTGAAGAACAGAAAGAAAAAGAAAATGATAATAAACTCGACGATCTCTTGATGGCACGAGCTAACGAAATTGGTAATTTACTTGCCTCTACAGTTGGAAAAATTCTATCTGAACGTGTCGATAAATTAGAAAATCGATTAGAAGCAGGAGAGAATGAACTCGAAGATGCTCGTCGTTATTCGCGCTCATTCAATATACATGTCTATGGTATTCCAGATTCTCCAAATGAAACTCCGGCTCAAACTCAAGTTAAACTTGAAGAATTGTTTGTTACACATTTGGATCTAAAATTAAAACATGGAATTGAGTTTAGCCATAGACTACCTTCGTCCATTAAAGATAAGCCTCGTCCTATCATCGCTCGTTTTTATTCACGGCTTGAACGATAACAAGTATTCTCATCACTTGGTAAATTGAAAGGAAAAGATTTGGTTGTTACTATCTTTGATGATTTGAATTACATGTCGGAAAAATTTATATAGTTTTTCTTGCTCATGACATGTATGTTTATCATCCAATGGATTATCAAGAGGTAGAAGTGGTTGGCAAAAAAAACACTTACTATGCTATCTGATTCATGTGATTTAATACGATTACCGCCAATAGGATATAATGGAAGTACGGCTCAATGTCCGCCAGTTTCACATGATTGTGTTGGTAAGCTTAAAAATATTGGTAGTAGTTCGGCTAT